ATGCTAGATATTTTCCATGAACTAAGCGCGATCGCATTCGCTGGCTAAGATAAATCACGTATTTTCGTGATATCAGATTTACTCTTACCTGGTTTCTTCATAAACTTTTTCCAGGGGTCTACCATCTACTATATTCAGGTATATAGCGAAATCGCAACACCACGAGAAATCTCGCGTAAGCTTTGGCAGGAAGCGGGAAGTCTTAGACTGAATATTGAAATGAGGCTCTGTCGGGCAGAGAGCCACCCGTTAACACCAGTGGGGGCGCCTACCATCGGCCTATCGTGGGTCTATGAAGCGGCGCTTTACCTTGCGGACGTCTTGGGGCTCCATATTGAAGTCTCATCACGCCGATCCCCCTTTTTCCTTCACCAATCCTTTTTCCCCCTTCCTACCACTCCCGTATGTGGGAGAGATGTAAATATTGTAAATATTCTGTACAGTAGACCTTACATTTGTTAACGAGAAATGTAAATCAAAGTATTTTTGATTTCTTTTGATTGATACTACTGTTAGAACTGAAATACTTTCAGTCAAATTAAAACAGTGGGTAGTTTCAAGTCAATTAAGTTTTGTATAGGTATGTCGAAAACATTTTCTTTGCGTAGGTCGTAAGAAAAAATATAAAATTGAGCGGTGGAAAAATACTGGTGTGAAAGTTACACAATAATTTGTAATATCCCATCTTTCCTGCAAATCACATTTAACTTTCACAGTATAACAAACTGCAAGAAAGGGAATTACTTTTTTCTCGTACCTAACGTTCCGGTATCGAAGTGCCACTGTTCCATCCTTCGTGTAGGAATGTATTCAATTTAACGCATAATATCCGTGCCTGAGAACGGCAGACGATTTCTTTGTGAATTTCGCACGTACGAGTAGCGCCGTCATTTATCGGGAGCGATTCAGCACTTAACGGTTTGAGTCCTTTCTTCGTTGCGAAATATCCTTGCTGGCTTTTATTGCAAATGAAATAATATGATGGTCAGGTAGCGGCTATAATTACTTTCGGGGATCGAGTTATGATATTGTGAATTATCAATTTTAGGGAATTATAATTTCTTTAAACTCTAGCCGAAAAAGTAGTATTTTGAGTCGGTTACCGGTCCTTCGAGCCGGATGCCGGATGCATCAAAAAGTAATAAAGTTTAGATACACATAGTAATAAGAATTATTCATCAGTGCATTATAATACATAAAAATGAAGTGAAGTAAGTGGGGTTCACTATACTTTGATGAATAAACGGATACTTACACTGAGGGTAGAACTCTGTATGGGTAAATAACAATTTCAGAACAATTTCAACATTATGGCCTTGTGTTACATAATTCATCAAGTTTTGAAGTGATTGAAGCTAAAAGGTATTGTAAAAATTGTGCTAATTTGAACAAAGCGAATTTTTTTTATATTTCAACATGGTATCCCTAACACATTACTACTTTATTTACAATCCACATGAGTTATTGAAATGAAAATCAATGCTCACAATTAAATAACCGAATACAGTGCATTCTTACCTCCAGTTTGATGAGTCAAATGACATTAATTATCAACCAATTAAAGAAAATATGCTGATTTTCGAATCAATCTCTGGCAAAAAACCTTTTTTCAGTTTTTATTAATGACCAATCCAACTCGAAATGAAAACTTGGACTGGAAAACAGATTTAGTATAATGTCAGTTACGTGAATTTAAAATATTTGACAAAATGAATGAAGTAGTTATTTTATGTCAATCAAAATTGAAAAAAAATTAAGGGCTAAGGGAGTCTTCTAGTATTTCTGAGTAACTGTAACGGAATAAAATCCATTGTAGATGTATCTACAATGGAATCCGCCTTTATTTTTGATGAATATGCCGCCATTAAATTTGTCAATTGTGGCCAACTGTTGACAAAAAAAGGTACAGAAAATAAGTTTTCCATTGATCTATAAAATTTTTTGACAATAAAATCCATTTAGTATATATTCGTCTTCAATCCGTTAAGAAGTGAATGGCATTTTTCCGTTTTCTTCAAATGTAATTAAGCTTTCGTATGAAGAAATAGATGTAAGTTATACTGGTTTTTTATCTTCTGAAATACTTCTATCAATTCTGTGGATTTTATTCCCTTACAGTTACTCAGAAATATTCGAAGACTTCCTTAGTCCTCCATTTTTTCTTCAATTTTCATTGACATATAATAACTACTTCATTTATTTTGTCGAATATTTCAAATTGACAAATTATGCGTGGCACTTGATTTTTCCAGATATCAAACATATGGAATTGTTCCCCATCCATTTCTTCCTCTAGTTTTTGCGATTCTAAACACTGCTCAGATTTAGAAACTACTTCAAAATTATGAAGAATGTATTCAGATAATTAGCCCACTCCTGTGTTTGTTAGAAATGAAATAAACACAAATACCACAAACACTTCATTCCTCAACTATTCTATCAATACTACCTCAATGCTGGTTGGAAACTATAGCAAGCGCCAAACGTGATGGCGAGTGATCGCGTAGGTATAGACTCTCCCAACTAAATTACTATTGGATAAAGATAAGCCCCTTGCCGGCCAGTGTCATACCTATAATCAGTTTTAATTAGGGTAGGAAATGAAACATTACTTCTTTGTAATTTCTTTTCATATTTTATTCAGTATATAGGTAAAAAAACATTTCTTCAAAATGTTATATAATGATACACTCTTGATGACTGGTTTTTTGTTAGGCGATGACATTTTTTCAGAAACAACACAAATTATTCAGACAATGTTAAACGCCAACAGCTTAGGAGGACAAGTAGTGATATGCCTCTGTACAGAGCGTTTGTATGTCTTGCAAGAGCTGTAGTGGGGATAACATTTAAAATGAGTTTGTGCGCATAGGGACGGGTTCGCCATCACGTTTGGCACTTGCTGTACTTGCCCTACAGTTGAAATTCGATTTTTTCAAATATTTTGGGGTAAGAACAGATTTTTTTATTCATTCTCGGATCAGTTTTTCATTAGATACAGTACACCAAAACTCACCTCTGCTAACAACATTAACGACTACCTATTTACAATTTCATTTTCAACCGACTGGAATAATTGTACCAGGCTCCCGGTGAAGAAAATATTGCTCCGTTCCTATAATTGGCCTCATTGGCAATTCAGCATACTTCGATGATAACGTTCGCAATTCTTGCATGAACAATACACTCGATCAAGTTGGCGATGCCGTGTGAGCTGTGCCCACGTCTACAACTCTAAGGATGTGTTCAGCAAAGTGGGTACAATTCTGATTACGAAACATTATCTAGTGTTACGTAGGCGTTGTATCATTCTTGATCTGCTACCTGTTTCAGTCACAACAAGTTGAACTACTTTATTATATTTTATTTTCTATTTGGAGGTGACGGTTATATATTCACTAATCATTATCTGGCTCGAAGGACCATTCTTAAGACTTTTTCAATATACAATTGATGGGTATATGGATTATGAAGCGGAAATAACCATAAAACAAAAATTATTGTAATCAAGTCTCCGTAATGTGTTTATTTTATGTGTAATCATAAAACCATAAGAAGTTATAGGGTACTTACCAAAGTCGTTACTGAACACAATTACTTTACTTAAGGACGGCAGTTCTTATACCTTTTGACTAATGAACAGTTCGTAAGTACAAGCTACCAATTACTGAAAAAAAAACATGTTTGTTTTTTGACATCCACACAAAAACGTAACGGCCAGGCTATTTACCCATTCCCATGAAGAATTGGGATTAATGACTTCCTTAATTTTTGTTCATCTTGCGAAAATATTCTGGAGCATTTCAAAAATTACATTCATCCTGTTTAACCTTACAGTGGTCTATTGATTGAGCCTAGACATATTTATTTCTTTGGGATATGAGCTTCTTAATAATAATGATAATAGTTGTTTGAATTGTAATTTAGGGGATATCAGAAGAATTGTTGTAATTTTAGATGAAAATGCAGAGTATGTATAGTAAATCAATCAGTCAATTCTTCATTCATCTAATTGAGACATAAAACTAGTGGGACATACCTCAGGGTTAAACATATAAATTAGCATACTCAGATTGTAAATACACTGTATATTTCGAAGTATTCATCATTATACGACTATACCCAAATCGAAACGCAAGAAATTCCATCGAACATTCGCCAAATTCTCTAGAATGAATCATCCAGAATTGATATGAATGTCTGATGATCTTTCATCAGTGAACAGGGCCGCACTTGCCTTTTTCGAAATAATATAGAAAAGGACAGTTCAAAACCTATGATACACTATACATATGGAAGTTTGAAAACGACATGTTCTTTAGCATTTTGAACTAGACAATTATTAAAATTCCTGTGTGGAGTAAGGAAGATCCTATTTTATCAAAAAGTTATATTTTGAGAGAGACTTAGACTTTTTCGTAGTTAGTGTGGAAGATAAGTACAGTAAGTGAATTTGTGCTACTATATTAACATTAATTCACAATCATTTTGACTTGAAAGTTCTGGAAAGCTACAGTGATTGTGAATAATAAATATTCTTACAAAAAAAAACTTTCAAAGTATTTTTGTTATTATTTAATGATGGTATATTTTATTTTGATCAGTGTATAAAGTCAAATGATTTGTTTAGCGTGTGTAGGAATGATGAGAAGATCAGATCAGATCGATACATGATAATCGAGTAAAACAGGCTATTTTTCGTTATTGAAGGATATCTGGATGTGTCCTATTGATTTGTGAATGGAAAACTGTTATAGAGTTTTCAACAATGAATCAGTTAATAACATAATGAAGTATGCTTTCATGATTTTATTAGAGAATAGTATGAAACATAGGGTCGGCTACTGTCCCTTGTGGCATACCCCATACTGGCATTCTTGTATACTCCAAGTCAAGGAAGTGTATTTTGTATTAGCCGTCCATGTGTAGGAAAATTATAACAGATTTTTTATCCGTAATTATGAACGGCCTAATCTCTCCTACACAATCTACTCGTTACGATGAGGGAATTACTGAATTTAACAAGTTCCTTTGTATATTGGCAGATTTATGTGAGATTTGAACCCGACCATGAATGATACTTAATTAATTACTTAATGAAAGGGCGATGGATGTTGACGATAATATTTTTTTTTCTTTTCAGAGGTCGTTCACACTGATACTACAGGCTGTGGATCATAACAATATTTCATTACCTGGTGAGTAGTTTATTACAGCAATATTTCAATTAGATGGATTGTGTGATGTGTGTGTGTACATGAGTTATTTGATACAAAAAATTGTTAGATTACCACAATGAGCAACAAATCAATTTCGTAGGAATTGATAATTTATTTGCTCAGGCTTAATTGAATGAAAATAAATTTTGGGCATAATAATTCTCAACTCTGATTTACCCACCATTATATTATCATTATACCGGGGAAAAATCTAAGAAATTCAACTTTTAGCAATCAAATGCATCTTCTGTTTATTTTTTATTATTAGTATCATGGATCCCTCACATTTGAAAAAGCTTTGAAACTAGATTCTTCAATATAGCCACTTATGCTTTCCCGTTAAGTATTTGAGAAGTTTTGTTGATTATCCGATCGTCAATACTCAAAACCTCAGATATCAGTATCCTATATAGTATGAGAACGAAATCAACAGAAAAAATTGTGTGGAATTCACAAAGTTCAAAAGATATTTTTCGCAAAGATATGTGGATCATGTTATATATAGTATGTGTGATTGATGACTTGTTTACTTTATGGTAATTCATGATCACTTTAATGAAATAAATAAAAAACACTTTTGTCTAAATACCACTGGTAGATTTTATTATACGACCGGTTTCGGGTTTGACCCCAATATCAAGTATTAAACTGAAATCTGAAGTTTGAAACATCGTTTATATTAGACTTTCCAGGTATGCAGCTAGAGATAGGTAGTTGGGCGAACCAAAATGCTAACTTTTGAAATTCCACGCTGAAAATTCTAGGGGATGTTAAACTCATAAATTCAAGAGAGGAAACCTACTTAAATCGAGTTTCTCGTTTAGGGGTATATGTTTCTGGTTTTTATTTGAATTGTTAATTTTCATGGCCTCCAACAAATTCATTTTCCTTCTTTTATTACATATGTGTGGGATTTTGAGGTTATATTCATTTATCTTGTGGTTTGATTCTTGAAGATGTTCGTACATTGCAGATTTTTTTGTACAAACAGACGTGTTCACGCAGTCTTATATCAAAATTTCTACCGGTTTGGCCTGTATATACTGCAGAGCATTCGCCACACTCTATTCTATATATACCTGATTTTTTCATTCTATCCCGTTCGGGTTTTGCATTAAACAGGGTTCCATCTAAATTACTTCGAACTTTGTTGTCCCAAATATGTTAACGTTCTATAATTTTCCCATCGTTTCTTGGAAACGGATGAATGTCCTTTATAGCTCAACTATATAGTTTTTTCGATAGTTTATATAGTTTGTCACCAATCTTGAAATGCAAAAAAAGCTTCAATTGAGAAAGCGAATTTATGAACCAAAGCATGACAAGATCTGAAGAAACTGGTGGACCAGAATTGATTGACTGGGTTTCAGGACAGTCAAGGATCACTGACGAAAAGGCTGATGAGAGTATCAAACTGGCAAATAGATGTCAACGTTTCTTCAGTCAAACCCTGGTACTATTCCTAACAACGACTCAAATTCAAATTCTCCGCATGATTCAATGAAAAAATACACATCTCGACACCTATTGTTGAAACCACCCACTTGCTCTCGACTTTCCCGTCTGTTCTCTGCCGTCATTCAAATACCAGCCGTGTACAAATTGTCGAGTATTCAAATACTAATACTCGAACACATTTTTCTCAATAGTGACGATTAACCTACTAGAACAAGACATTTGCTACCTTAGACAAAACAATGTCGAGAGGTTCTCAAAATGATAATTTTTCACGTGGGCTGTGGCTCTTTCATTAGTAGCGAAACTTGAGTGTACGAGTAGCAGTCGATATTTTCTTCAATACGATAAATTTTGATGGCACCAAATCACTAATGCATCAGCACGTCTGTTAACTGATAATTTAGAGCCTCTTGGAGAATGAAAGAAAAAACCAGAAAGATACTTTCTTTCGTTTTCTGTAACCTTGTGCACGAGTGTGTAAGGGGCCGTTCATTAATCACTTGTGGCTTGAAAGGGGGGGGAGGGGCTGTAGCAAAAATCACGAAATATCACAAGGATGGAGTGGGTGTAGTAATATATCACCTATATTTTTTTTTTTTTGAGAAACGCGCGATTTCCAAACCAAAAAGCGGCGTGTAGTGTAACTTTGGCTCACCGTTGCCAGGCAAAGAATGAAATCCCCGCTCGCCAACGTTGATCTTCAACAAAGCACAGTGCCGACAACTAACTGACTTGCAAGATTCTTGCTTATCCATTGTCCAAGGACAATGTACATTAAAAAATATGTTCATGTACTAGTACAATATATGTGTTTTGCATGATTACACCATTCCTTCCATATTAATTTTATGTAATATTTGTGTATTTTAATGTATGTCTATGTGTATTTAATGTATTTAAAGACAATATTCTGAAAGTTTTGAGATTCTTTGTGGGCACTAAAAAATACACGTGATTTTGTGTGTGGGAGGGGGGTTAGTCTTGAACCCTCTACCCCCGCGCATCGTCCACCGTCGTCTTACAGTAGACGCATAATGGCCTACTGCATTGCGTTAATTTAATCTTATCGCCATTACTTTTGAACAATTCGTCTAAATTACAAAGTTTATCTATATTAAATACCTAAAACGACAATTGTACCAATTTTTAAAAAAGTCGACAGATATTCTAAAATGTGCATTGTAAAAAAAGTATCCAATTGAATTATATTCATGGCTCAATATTTTGCATATAGTAGCTACCACATAAGAGGTACATATATGCTATCGCGGACTTTAATTTAGAACTATTCAAGAAAAACATTCCAATGGTATAGGCAGCGTACGCCAAGATAGCTCCCAGGGATCAAGAATTTTTCTGACATACTTTAGTGTGGAGGTACCTTTGGTTGATGGCCTCTGTTTGAAAAGTTTTTGGGCGAAAAAGTGATGAATCATGTATCTTCTTTTATAAAAAAATGGAAAACTGAACCACCCTTCGATATTGTTTACACTCATATGAATTTGTTTACACAAAATTATATTCTATATATTTTATTCGTTTAGGTAGTACAGGTATTTTAACTTCCTGTAACCTGTATTATCCAAACTTACTTATAGAGTGACTCTTTCGTATTCCTCATAACCATTGTTCCTTTCAAATACTCTTTATCTCCCTAATAAGTAGTCTACCCATAAACATTTCTCAATTTCCTAGGTGAAGTTTTTTTTTTTTGAGCACAAAACAACAGCACTACAGTAACATCCTTAAGGTGCTTTCAGAGCGGTGCCTGTGCGAAAGTAGCGATTCACATTGGATTTGTGTGCAATAGATGTTCTAAAGAATGTTAGATTCATCCTCAGTCTGTTTTTCTACACTTTTCTCACCATGTTCGTTTGTTATTGAAACTCTTACTTCCACTATGTAATAATGCATTATGTCATTTTTTTCATTCTCTCTCTCTCTCTCTCTCTCTCTCTCTCTCTCTCTCTCATAGCAAGGACATTTACAGTATATTCCCCCTTCGACATATTCCTATACTATACTAAACATTGCTGGAACAGAATAATGAGTTTGAGTAAACAGCTGAATAAACGAATACCATACTTCATTCGTCCGAAAAAATCAGTCAAACTCATAAATAAATGATCCTTGTAGATGAAAAATAACGTGCACTGAACGGGCTCAGGTCTCTCTGTCGGTTGATGTTTACCTTGCATTGTATCCGAGATATATTATAAAACTATTCATTCGAAAGCAATTTTTACGGCTGCTTTTATGGAAGATGGTGACAGTTTAATGATCCAATAAAATTGTTAGAGCACGACAACGAGGTCAAAAGTAAGATGACAGCGCCGGGAGGACGGCATTCTGTGGGAAAATAACCCTTTTCAAAGGGTAACCATTTCTAGTTTAGATTTTACTCTTTTTCTGTTAATTTGACAATCTTGTTTAGTCATTTTATTTCTTTTCATTTTAGTTTAATCTAAAATTCTTAATTATTCAGTCACAAGAAAGTTACAAAAACGGGGGTGATCTCGTAATAGCATATTTTTGAACGATCACAAACTGAAAGAATTGAATACTCTCACGAATTCCATTGGTCGTAAATGAGAGGAAGGCATGAGTAGGAAAGAAAATCATAACTTGAATAGACTAAATTATCAAAGTTTTGTAGAGTTTATTTATAAAATTAGATTTCACAAAACCGCATTTTGAACCATTTCAACTAGTATGGACTACTTTGATCTCCTAATTTGTTGGAACAAGGTAGAAGAAGCTGTAGACATTTCAGCTTCTTTGTACAGTGAATAACCCGAATATTCTCGTTGCTCTTAGGTATAATTTTCAAATTATGTCCAGCTCATGAAGATAATAATTGAAATATTATCCTCATCGGATTTTCAATCCGCATTTTCCATTTGAATTTCGGCCTGCCTCAATTATAGCATAATGTTCACAATCAGATGAAGTTTATTAATTTAAGCTGATCTGTCAAAAAATGTTTTTCTATTAACCAACTGTCGCCTCCTATGAAAGACTATCCTCAGATGTCGACACTTGTGCGAGCTGAGGATTAACGAGGTGTTTCCTTTTAACGTGCGATTCCTAGCACGGGACACCTGAGTTTATGAAGGATCGTTTTTTTATGCAATTGGGATAACATCCAGAATGAAAACCTGTCTTTTGCTGCTTATTGTCAATTTTCTGTATTTTCTCGGTTGACAACCCAGCTTTTCTATTGAAGAAATACAATAAATTCAAATCAGGATACATCCTGGTCATTACTGTTCTTCATTAATTTTTGATCTACATGTGATGTGTTGAATCACATGTTTCTTTTGAGGTGTATGGTTTGAATGCAAAGTCATCGTCTTTGGTGTAAGATCTCCGTTAACTTTTCATCCCAAACTGGCACTAGCTACTGAATTATCTTCGACATTATACACTTAATGGTTTCTCATAATTTCACAAGATTTTAAACAACCTTTTCGATGATTAGTCTCTCCGTAAATCCTCAAATTAACACCCGTTGACTACGA